GGCGTGCCCCATGGACCCGTTCCCTCTCCCCAACATTGATCAGTTGGTGGACGAGACGGCGGGGTGCGAGTTGATGTCGTTCCTCGACGCTTTCAGAGGATACCACCAAATCTCCATGCATGAAGATGACGCTGAGAAGACGGCATTCATGACCCCAGAGGGAATTTTTTGCTACCTCGTCATGGCCTTCGGACTCAAAAACTCCGGCGCCACCTACACTAGGATGGTGGCCAAGATCTTCAGGGCGGTCCTTGGCCGGACGATGGAGGCGTACGTCGACGACATGATCGTCAAGAGCAGGCAGGCCACCTCCCACGCCGACGACCTCCGGGAAATATTTGAAATAATGAAAGAGTTCAGGCTCCGCCTCAACCCCAAGAAGTGCGCCTTCAGCGTCCAGGGCGGCAAGTTCCTCGGCTACATGGTCAACCGGAGAGGCATCGAGATAATCCCGGAGAAGACGCAGGCTATCATCAACATGGAGCCGCCCCGCAACGTCAAGGAGGTACAGCGACTGACGGGGCGCCTGGCGGCCTTAAACCGGTTCCTCTCCAGGTCAGCCGAGAGGGCACTCCCCTTCTTTCAGATCATGCGTAAAGCCAACAGCTTCAAGTGGACGACGGAGTGCCAGGAAGCATTCGACGAATTGAAAAGGTACCTGTCGTCCCCACCCGTGCTCTCCAAGCCCAAAGCCGGCGAAACCCTCTTCTTGTACTTAGGGGTGAGCACGTCGGCCATCAGCTCCGTACTCATCCGTGAGGACGAAGGGGTGCAAAAGGCCATTTTCTACATCAGCAAGACACTCAGGGAGGCCGAGCTCAGGTACTCCCCCATTGAGAAGACGGTGTTAGCCATCGTCCACACGGTGAAGAAGCTGGGGCACTATTTCCAGACCCACACCGTCCATGTGCTGACCCAGCAGCCTCTCGGCGCACTCATGAGGAGTCCCACAAGCTCATCAAGGATGGTGAAATGGGCGATCTTCCTCAGCCAGTTTCAAATTGAGATCAAGCCAAGGCCATCCATCAAAGGGCAAGCCTTGGCCGACTTCGTCATAGAATGCACAGCAAGGGAGACGGCCGTCGCCAACCCTAGGCCGGAGCCGGACGACACATGGACCATGTTCACTGACGGCTCGTCGGCCGCGAAATCATGCGGCGGCGGCGGCGTCCTCATATCCCCTGAAGGATTCAGAGCTTACTATGTCATCCACTTCAACTTCAGGGTATCCAACAACGAAGCTGAGTATGAGGCCCTCCTCAGCGGTCTCAGACTCGCCGCCGGCCTCAAGGCCAAGCACCACAAAATCAAGTGCGACTCCAAACTGGTAGTGGGCCAGGTGGAGGGGTCGTACGAAGCAAAGGAAGGCCGGATGAAGCAGTATAAACAAGCGGCAGAAGAGTTGCTGAAAGCGTTTGAAACCCACGAGATCACTCAGATCCCAAGGGCCGAGAACGCCGAAGCCGACATCCTCTCCTAGCTCAGCTCGGACACCCCGGAGCACATCTCCCAGTTGGCCAAGGTCGAGGAGTTGAGCATGTCCTGCATCCATGCCAGCCCCGTCTTGTGCGTCCAACAGCGACCAGAGGACTGGATCTCCGACATCACCACCTTCATCACAACGGGGGAGTTACCCCCGGACGAGGAGAGGGCCAAACTTGCCAAACTCAGGGCCCCAAGCTACACCATCAAATATGGCAAACTCTACAAACGATCCTACAATGGCACTCTCCTTCGATGCCTCCACCAGGATGAGGCCGACATAGCCATGGAAGAAGTTCATTGCGGCGTCTGCTCCTCGCACCAGGGCCCTTTCAGCATGTCCCGGCGTCTCGTCGTCCAGGGCTTCTTCTGGCCGACGATGGCACGAGACTGCGCTGACCTGGCCAGGAAGTGTACCACATGCCAGGTACTCCAGAAGGCCCCTGGTCGGCCGGCCGTCAACTACGCCCCCGTCAGCACTGCAATTCCATTCTCTAGATGGGGGATTGACCTGGTCGGCCCCCTGCCCAGAGCCGCCGGGAACAACCGCTACATCATCGTCGTCGTCGACTACTTCACCAAGTGGGTCGAGGCGGAACCCCTGGCCAGCATCACGGGGGCCAGGTGCCAAAAATTTGTTTACAAAAACATCATCACACGCTTCGGCGTCCCCCAGGAGATTATATCAGACAACGACACCCGATTCGAGGCAGCCTCTTTCCAGGAGCTCCTCCGGGAGTTTGGGGTGAAGCATCGTTTCTCCTCCGTTGCCTACCCTCAGGGCAACGGGCAGGTCGAGAACTCCAACAGAACAATCATGGAGGGGCTGAAAAAGAAACTCCAGGCCACAGGAGGTAGTTGGGTCGACGAGCTCCCCAACATCCTATGGTGCTACAGAACCACGCCGAGGAGGGCGACAGGTGAAACGCCTTTCGCCCTATGCTACGGCTTTGAGGCAAAGGTGCCCACGGAAGTTGCCATCCCTAGCCGACGGGTGGAACAATACGAGCCTGACACCAACGAAGAAAACATGAAGATTGACCTGCACCTGGTCGATGAGAGGCGTGAGCAAGCTTACGTCTGAGCAGAGAACTGCCGGCGCCAAGTAAAATCATACTATGACGCCAAGGTACGTTCCCGGGAATTTCAGGTGGGGGACTACGTCCTCCGCCGAAGGGAAGCAAGCCAGCCGACAGAGGGTGGCAAGCTAGCATTGAAGTACGAAGGGCCCTACATCGCCAGTGCCGTGGTCAAACCCGGCACCTACAAGCTTAAACGCCGGAATGGGTCCAATGTACCACGAATGTGGAATGTACACCATCTGGTGAAGTTTTATCAGTAATCCGAAGGAGGTGCAGACGGCGAAGCCCTCACCCCTTAACGGGTTACTGATTGAACGCCACCCTCGGCCTCGAGCCACTTATGAATAAAATCATGTTCCTCCTGATTTTTTCTCTGGAATTTAAAGTAAAACATTAGCAGGTGCCCCCGTCGGCCACCTTAGAGCGAAAGGCTCAGGCATGACCGACGTGGCCCCTTGCATTTGCAGCCTACGAGCGACAAGCTCAGGCACTCCATTGTATTTTGTATCAGCGAAGGGCTAAGGCCTAGCTGAGAGAGCACATCGTCGTGGCTCCGTAAGCCTAGAAGTGAAACGCTCAGGTACGGCCGACGATGTCCCCAGGACGAGGGGCCCGCAAACGGCCTACGTCTTGAAACGGGAAGCTCACCGCGTCGTCCACGCGCCAGATCGCAGGACGACAGGCCTGAAATCATGGCCGAGGTGACAAAATCCCAAAACTCAGGGATGGGCAATGACAGCCGTTGGAAACCGACCAAAAGTCTAGCCCGCGTCATAAATAGGCGACGAGACCCGCCCTGAGATCACGGACGTTATAAACGAAGTCCGAACCGGCCGAAAGACGAGCACACCCTTCGGCCGAAGCCTGAAAGAAGGATACTCCCCGGAAACAAAAAAAAATATACAAGGGAAAAAGAGGGAAGCCGACGGCCGTGCACACTAGCCGGCCTCGAGCAATGAAAAAATAAAATCCCCACAACTCAGACCCAACTAGGCCAAGTACATATCAGTTGAACACATGTGTAGTACCACTGACAGGTAACATGGACGACACGTCCAAGCACCACAAGGGAATGATCAAGGCCGAAACATACGCCTATAAAACCCTAGCCGAATCGGTTGGGTGACACGCGAGAGGTAACCTTCATCGGCCACAGTCCTTTGAAGCACCAACGCTTGGTATGAAACAAAGAATAACAATCCTGAGGATGACCAGGACGAAGCGGGCACTTATCACACCCGCGGAAGAATCAAGCAATCAAGAAACAATCCTTACTTGCCACAGCATCCCGGATAGCCGTTACAGGCACTGGAACCCAGGCCGTTGGTCAAGCGAAAGCCCTTTAGGAATTTGTTCAAGTGTCTACCACACACTTAGAGAAAACTCTGAAGCAAAAAGTTCCTCAAGAAGGAACTATGCCTTAGCCGATGAAGGAAAGGCCTTCTCTTGGGGAAAGCAAGGGGCACCTTCATCGACCACAAAGCCGGACCTTGGCCGATGATGGTAGGGCCACCTCCTAGCCGGCAGCGGTACCACAAAGAAAGAGCTATGTCTTACATTTATACTTAAAAAATTCTCTAAGTACTTAAATGGAGGAACTCTAGACGAAGCGGGTACCTGTATACTCCAAGGCCGTTAGCTACCTACGCCTTGCATATGTACTTAGAAAAAATTCAAAGTCCAAAAGACTAAGGTGAAGGTGCCCTTATTGGCCACAACACAGGGATGCAGGCCGACAACGACACTGGTTCAATCACTTGGGAAATCTCCCAAAGCATTTGTCAACAATGAGAAATCCAATGCCAGGACGATGAGAACACCCATCCACTTGAAGTTAGACACTTAGAAAAATTCTAACAAAAAAGAAGAACAGGACAACGCCAGGACGTAGCGGACACCACGGTCAAGGCCGAAAGGAAAGCACCTAAGTGAATCCAAAACACTTAGGAAATTTTTGGAAAAATCCTAAGTGTTATGATAGTACAGCAACACTGGATAGGCCGACCAAGCCACCAGGCCGGAAAGAAAGCAACTAAGTGGATCCAAAACACTTAGGAAATTTTTGAAAAAAATCCTAAGTGTTATGGTAGTAAAGAAACGACGGCCAGGCCGCCCAATCCACCAGACCGGGAAGAAAGCAGCTAAGTGAACCCAAAACACTTAGGAAATTTTTGGAAAAAAAAATTCTAAGTGTTATGATAGTAAAGCAACGACGAACAGGCCGACCAGGCCCCCGGACAGGATGGACTACCCCACGGACGTAGCGGACACTCGCGGGTGACCCAAGTTGTAACCTTGACACTTAGACAAATTTCAAAATTAAAATGACAAAAGGCAAACAAGCATACAAGGAATTCAAAGCCGAGCAAGACGGCAAAAACTTTTCATTCATGATCAATTCAGTACAATGGGGGCGCTTCGGCCATTACATCAATTTGGCAAAAAGGAAAAACTAATTACAAGGGAGCGGGGAATAGCCGATCAAGCTTCTTGAGCACCTCCATTACCGGCTGGCTCCTCGACGTCGTCGGTTCCCTCCTTGGCCTCAGTCTCTTGGCCGGCGGCAGCTGCAGCACTGGTGGCATCGTCCAGGAAATCGAACTCTGTGTAATCCGGCTCGCCGAGGCCGGAACTCTCAATGGGGGACTCCCTCTCCGACAGAGGAAGCTTGGCCTGCTCTTCTGGATCTTTCATCAGCTTTGGCAGCTTCAAGTTCCGTCTAGCCCACCCGGATGTGTAATTCATGGCCTTCAGAGCACGAGACAGCCGCCGACACAGGAGCCTCTGCATCCGCTCCTGGCCCATGTTATAGTAAACGGCCATCTCCCTACTGAAATACTCCTGGCCGGCGGGGGAGTTCATCCCCCAATTTTCAAGCCTGGCGGCCACCACTTCATAGCACCAGGGGAGCCTCTCATCGGCCTTCCACCCTTCGGCCAGGAATTGCTCAACGGCCTTATCAGCAGCCTTCACTGCGGCAGCCTCGGCCTCAGCTCTCGCCTTCACGGCCTCCTCGTTCTTGCGCCACTCGGCCTCCAGCGCCCTTTGGCTCTCTTCGAGTTTGGCCAGGGCATCGTCCCTGGCTGCGGCGGCCTCGTCGGCCTTTTGTTGCAACGCCTTGGCATCCTCCCGGAGCCGATCCAGGCAAGCTACCGCCTCATCGGCCGAGGCAGCCTTCTGCTCCAGCTCTTTCAAACGAGCTATCTCCCGGTATTGCCTCTTGTGGCTCTCCATGAGCATAAAGGCACTCTGCAGAAAAAAGGAAAACAAAACTCAGGCAAATGACTCTACACGGACGACGAGAAAAACGACACATAAGAAGGAAAATAACTTACTTGGACGAGGAGGTCCATGCCGCCCTCGTACACCTTCACGTCCCCGAGCTTCTTAAGGTAAGCCCGATCTTTGGCCGGCATGGCCTGGGCCAGCACATCATGGCCGAGGACGGCATCGTCAAACACACCCCCGCCGACGGGGTATTCCACCACCTTCTGGTAGATGGCAGCGGCGATCTCCTTGCCAGCCCTCTTTGTCCGTGGCTCCTGGACGATAGGGAGCGATTGGGCGGCATCACTTGGAGCAGCAGTAAGGTCCACGAGGGGACCACTATCGTCCATGCTCGGGACAGTCAGAGTACCGGCCTCGGTAGCAGGGGAAGGAGACGGTGCCCTCTTCGTCTTCTTGGCGACGTTCAGGCCGGCCTCAGTCAATTTTTTCTGGCCGTCAGTGGCCGGCCTCTTCTTCTTCGATTGGGCAGGCTTTGGGGCCGCACCAGCAGTAGCCCCGCTTCCCTCGGCCGCGGCACGTCTGGCCGCCTCGGCCGCCTTAGCAGCCAACTCCTCGGCCGCTTTGGCCTTAGCAATAGCCATTATGGAACGACGATCCATGACAAAATCTACAAAGGAAAAACAACAGATTAGCAAGGCAAAAGAACAAATCATAAAGGAAGAAAGCCGAAGAAATAATTACCATCGGCCTCAGCAGGAATGCCCAAGTCCGGGCCGTCGGCCTCTTCGAAGGTGGTGGTCATCCTCGGCCAGAGTTGGAGGTCATCCTCCTTATCCCCATACACATGGTATCTCAAGAAGCCGAGGGCGGTCATCTTGTATTCAGTGATATAATCCTTCACGCTCCTCGGCCCCCCTTCCAGGAAAGCCTCCACCTGAGCGTCCAAGATAGAGCTCTTCGGCGGGTCATGCAGATTAAACCTCCCGGTATGGCCGAGGGAGGGAAACTCTGTGCCACTCTCACCAAGGGACACAAAAACGAACTTGCTCTTCCACCCATGAATGGACGTAGGCAAGTCCGTGAAGCTCCTCTTCTTCGGCAGTTGTTGAAGAGTAGCATAGGCTGCACAGTTTTTGTGGCTTCCTCAGCCGATCTGATACAGATTCATGAAAAGGGCTGTCGTCGGCCTGTAGCCCAACTCCTCACAGCGGAGCAAAAACCCTACCATCAGTGAATAGTTGTTCGGCGTCAGCAAGGCCGGAGGGAGCCCCACCATGTCAAGGTATTCAGTAATGAAGGGATGAAGGGGAAACCTCAACCCCTTAGCGAAACTCATCGGGTATACTCCAAAGTATCCCGGTGGCGGAAGAAGAACATGGTCCGTCGGCCTGGGTGCCCTAACCCGCCCGAACGGCCCCACGTACATCTGGGCAACAAGGTAGTCGGCCGCGCTGCTCTCCGGCTTAATCAGGAAGATGTTGGTGAGATCCAGGTAGGAGATGCCCGGCCCACTCTTCGGCCTCCTCACTCTCTTCGGCTTATCGGCTCCCTTAACGGCGGACACCGGCCTCGGGCACGGAATAACAGCTGAAGTGGACGCCCCGTCCACCACTCGGGACGCAGCTGCGTCCTCACCTTTTGAAGACGAGGCGGACTCCTCGTCCTCGACTTCCTCGTCCACCGGCTCTTCGGATTTGTAGGGACTTAAGTGTTGTATCTCCTCCTCGAACTCCTCGAGCACCTCATAGTCGAGTGACCTAGTGGAGGGTTGGTCGTCGTACGGATAGTAGTCTTCGTTCAAACTCTTCACCATAACTACTACTACGAGCCTAAGGAGAATAACTTAGGATCTAAGGGTGTTCAAACGCCTAACACTAGATCACTAGCCTAGGAAGCAAAGTATGAAAAGTGCAGAAGATTGCGATGAACACTAACCTTGAACACGAAGAACACGAAGAACAAGCTTGGGAGTTTATCTCTCTAGAAAATTGGCCAGCACTTCGACAATTCAGAATGCAAATGAGATTTTTGGTCGGAGGGGGAGGGGTATTTATAGAACCCCCCCACCCAACGGTCACTACACGTGGCACCCTCCCAATGGCCACATCAACGGCCACCAATGGGAGGCCACCACTTCACCAACGGGCCAAGCTACATGTCAACAGCCCACTGGCAAAACAGACTCTACGGCCTATACACTTGCCGGCTTCACGAGTGCCAGCAAGCGCCCACAACGTCCTATTTGCTTGCCAGGTTCACAAACGCCAACAATAAGGAGACGACAACGTCCAGGAACGTAATGAACGCCCATAACGGCCACAGAACCAAAGGAACCAAGAACCCACAGCCATCGGCTCCTCGTAATGACCCTTAATGATAACTCTCTACAAGCGATCTACGCACAAGGGTTCTCCCACAGGGTTACCTTGGCCAGAAAATCGCCATGAGGGTTGGATTCAGGGGGACTACGGAGAGGCCGCTTTGGCCAGGGACTCAAGCAACTCCTTCACCCCTCACACTCTTCGGCCTGAAGCAGTGGGGGACTGGGGGACTACACCGGCCTCAACAATACAAAGAACATGACTGTAACCAACAACGCATGGTCACATCGGCCATGTATCACACTGCGCCTCGTCGACCAAAGGCACACGACGTCATCAGCGACGGCCAAAAGGAGTGCGCAAACACCCTCATCGGCCACCCAAAGGAAAGGACGCCATCGTCCTCAAAGCAAGGACGCCATCGTCCTCAAAGCAAGGTTCAATCTCAGTGGCCTCATCGGCCCAAACATAAACTTCAACCATCAACATCCAGGAAAGGGAAAGCGTGCCTTCAACGGCCACCATTGAAGCAGGACACTTGTCGTCCCCAAACGAACACATCAAGGAAACAACGGCCTCCCCGCCCACAGCGAGGAGCAGGTAACGGCCAAGGCACAGAACAGGATCACCAAAATGGAAACAACACCAACGCCGCAACAGCTGACGGCCTGGGAACGCCCGCATCGGACAAAAGCACTAAAGCACGGGAATCTACTCTCCTTCACTTCGTCTACGTCTCAGCTTAGAGAGTGGGGGACTCCTGATGGAGTATATGGGCCTGAGCCCCCGGACCCACATACTCGGAAGAACAGAAAGCACAAGACACAGAGTGGCGCCCTCGTCGGCCAAGACGCCCCCGTCGGCCGAAAAGGTGCCAACTCAGATTATGGTCCTGAAGCCAAGGAACCCGGGTGCCCTCGTCGGCCGCGCCCTCGTCGGCCGTGCCCTCGTCGGCCACGCCCTCGTCGGCCACAAAGACTCCACAGAACCGGATTCTACACTTACTTCTTTGTACAGCCCATTAGTGGCTTTGTATTCGGCCCAGTAGCGGTCCAGTTGTAAATGGGCCTCCCAAGCCCAAGCCTTGGGAGCCCAGCCCGTATTTTCTCTATAAATACTCCCCTTGGGAGTAGTTATAGGGGTTACAAATTCATTCTATTGAAGCATATTATTGCACTTCTCTCTCTAGCTCTCACTTCTCTCTAGATATACTCTATCAACTATTATTATTAATAATAATAAAATCTCTTCTGCTTACTTGCTTGAGTCTTCCAATGTGTGGCATGGTAGACTAGGACATGTTAATTTTAATTCTATACGTAGATTAATTAACATGGAACACACTCCTAAATTCACAATTGATGTGAATCACAAATGTGGAGTTTGTGTAGAGGCAAAACTAGCGAAAACGTCTTTCAAATCAGTTGAAAGAAAAACGGAGCCACTTGAATTAATTCATAGTGACGTTTGTGATTTTAAATCAATACAAACACGTGGCGGTAATAAATATTTTATTACTTTAATCGATGATAGCACTCGCTATAGCTATGTTTATTTATTAAAAAATAAACACGAAGCAATCGATAAATTCATTCTTTATAAGAATGAAGTGGAAAACCAACTTAATCGACGGATTAAAATGGTTAGAAGTGATCGAGGTGGTGAGTATGAAGCACCAATTGGTGACTTTTGCGCGAGCGTGGGTATAGTACATGAACGTACCGCACCCTATTCACCTCAATCAAATGGTGTTGCCGAACGAAAGAATCGCACATTGAAAGATATGATGAACGCGATGCTAGTAAGTTCGGGCTTGTCACAAAATATGTGGGGCGAAGCAGTCTTGTCAAGCAATTACCTTTTAAATAAGGTTCCCCGGAAAAAATATGATAAAACTCCGTACGAGTTGTGGAAAGGCAGACGGCCTTCCTATCAATATTTAAAAGTGTGGGGGTGTTTGGAAAAAGTGCTTGTACCAACACCTAAGAAAATAAAAATAGGTCCAAAAATGGTGGATTGTATTTTTATTGGATATGCACAAAATAGTAGTGCTTATCGGTTTTTAGTGTACGATTCGAATAATCCGGATGTACATGAAAACACTATAATTGAATCAAGGAATGCCTCATTCTTTGAAGATGTATTTCCATGTAAGTCCAACGAAGGACCTAGCACGTCAAAACGAACATTTGACGTAGCTATGGAAAATACTAGCGAGGGATCGAGTGAAGAACCCGAACCCCGACGTAGCAAACATGCTAGAGTAGAAAAATCCTTCGGACCGGATTTTCTCACATACCTGGTAGAATTCGATTCGAATATTCTAACTTGTATGGTAGAAAATGAACCGGATTTTCTAACATGTTTGGTAGAAAATGAGCCACGGACTTATACGGAAGCCGTAACGTCTACCGAAGGACCGATGTGGAAAGAAGCCATCAAAAGTGAGGTGGACTCTATCCTAAAAAATCACACGTGGGAATTGGTTGATCTCCCTCCGGGATGTAAACCTTTGGGATCCAAGTGGATTTTTAAACGTAAAATGAAACCAGACGGTTCCATTGATAAGTATAAGGCCAGATTTGTAATCAAGGGATACAAGCAACGCGAGGGCCATGATTACTTTGACACGTATTCTCCCGTGACGAGAATAAATTCCATTAGGATGATACTAGCGATTGCCGCTTTGCGGAATTTGGAAGTCCATTAAATGGACGTAAAAACCGCTTTTCTAAATGGCGATATAGACGAAGAAATCTATATGGAACAACCCGAGGGTTTTCGTGTTCCAAGCCAAGAAAAGAAGGTTTTTAAATTAATTAAATCATTGTATGGATTGAAACAAGACCCTAAACAGTGGCACGAAAAGTTCGATCATGCAATGTTAATTAATGGGTTTAAGATAAACGAAAGTGACAAATGCGTCTATGTGAAAAGCACGGTAGACGGCTATGTCATTTTATGTTTATACGTGGATGATATACTCATCGTGGGTAGCAATAATCAAATGATTAATTCTACCAAAAGCATGTTAAATTCTAAGTTTGACATGAAGGATATGGGGCTGGCCGATTTAATCCTTGGGATTAAAATAATTAGAGAACCTGACGGTCTAACGCTAAGCCAATCTCATTACGTTGATAAAATCCTTACTAAATTTAATAAGGATGATTATCAAGAGGCAAGGACGCCATTAGATAAAAACACTCATCTTACCAAAAATCGTGGAGAGTGTATTTCTCAAGTAGAATACGCTAGGATTATTGGAAGTTTGATGTATCTGATGAGTTGTACCAGGCCTGATATTGCCTTTGTGATTAGTAAGCTTAGTAGATATACTAGTAACCCCGGTGATGAACACTGGAAGGCAATAGTGAGGGTTTTGAGGTATTTACGCAAAACTCAAAACCTTGGACTACACTATGGAAGATATCCAGCTGTACTTGAAGGGTATAGCGACGCTAGTTGGATATCTGACATTAAGGACTCAAAATCCACAAGTTGGATATCTGAGGCAACAGATACATTTTAAGGAAATCGTGCGTAGCACGAGCTTTGGCTTATTCTGCTTCATCTCATTTCTTGTTTTTCTTTAAGTCATTTTATTTAATTAATCTTTATTAATTAATTTTCTTTGTTTTTCGAAACACACCCAACAAAAGGTAGGGGGAGATGAATTTGAAATTATTCCTAACCCGGAAACGGAGAAGTCTGGGAAAGTTACGGGATATCGCAATTCCAAGCCAAAACCTGCAAAGATTTCTGTTATTCGTCAGTGTGGAGAATCAAGAAACGGTTGAAGAATGTGGGTTATCCGCACCAGTGTGGAGAATCAAGAAACGGTTGAAGAATCAACGTTAGGCCCAGCCCGGGCAGCACCAATGCTTTGTTTCATTTGGACCAGTGATCAGGAAGGCCTAAGTCGGCATAGTTAGTGATGGACCACCGACCTCGAGGTGGATGGGATCCGGTAAAAATGGAGAGACCGAAAAGTGCCAAGTAAGATCGAGTAAAAAATTTGACAGAGTAACAGTAAAGCTTGAATCGACTCCCTTTCCACATGTTGGAAGATGATATTTATACTAGGAAGAACTAGGGCTGGCATTTTGAACCGAAAAAACGAAAACCGAACCGAAAATAACCGAACCGCATTGAAAAAAACCCGAACCGAACCGATAAGTTTTGGGACCCGAAAATCGGGACCCGAAAAAATATTGGTTCGGAATCGGTTTATGTACTGGAATTATCGGTTTGGACCGAACCGAACCGATTTTTAAATGATATAATAATAAATATTAGTAGTATTAATGACGTTTACAAATGATATAAATTTCATTCGAGAGGAGTACAGAAGCATTGGAACTGTTAGCGTGCAGGTCATGCGTCACCGGTTCGGGTCCCCCTGGTATTCATTTTGTTTTATTATCTCTCCCTATTTTCCCCTCTCCTCCACAACTTAGTCCCACACCGGAAAAATAAGAGACTTACTCCTCCAAAAACATCTATATAAGGAGGGCTCTACTTGAAAATAAAATGGTGACTAGCAAGTCACGTAATCCGGTTATTTCGGATTCAAGTGGCCTCTAATGGGCTCAATTATATTAATAGCCATATACATTGGGTTTGGTGGGTTCAATATTCAAAAGCCCAGATATATTCGGCTTAATGGGTCGAATGCAAGTTCAATTTTTTGCTTTTTTGTTATTGTAAACGGTTTATTTCGGTTTCCGACAAACCGACCCGAAAAATCGGTTCCCAATAAATCGGCACCCGATCCATGATCGGTTCGGTTTCGGGTGTAATAATTTCAGAAACCGATAGTTCGATTCGGTTTGAAAATTTGTTGGATTGGTTCGGGACCCGAACCGAATCCAGCCCTAGAAGAAATTACATGGCCAACAAGCAAAATAATGTGGTGAAGACACGTGTCCCACTTATCTAACAAGAATAAGTGTATTGGTCTAATAATTTGGTGACACGTGTAAAGGTGATTGGAGAGATATTTTGGACAGTTGGCTGATTGGTACTGTGTATAACAAAATTTGTCCTTTGCGTCCTAGAAACCACATGCGCGCCACACGTGTGTTATCTGGAATATTCCTTGTGGTACCCACCAGGGCGACGTGGCTCTTGTATAGATATCGTATTGGTGACGTGGCCCCAGATCCGTGTGGTGCTTGATTGCCGAAATGTCTAAGTTCATAATTGATTAACGAGCTCCCGAGCCCCGTAAGTGAGGTCAAAGCTTGGGTATGATGAGCTTATGCTGGAGGGTTTGATCTTGGTTTTCTATTTGTCCAGTAGCGGTGATTCTTTCGCTTCGTTGACTTCGGTTGACTCTGTGACCGCGTCTGAGGTCAGATCCGGTTCTGACCTCGGTGCGGGTTGAGCTCAGCCTCAGATTCGGTCTTATCTTGATGATCTGGAAGTCGAATGTTTGAATCGACCTCGGGTGGGTCGAGGTCGTCCTTGGCGAGATATTGACTTGGTGTTTCGGGAGACGTCTTTATATTCAAACGTATGATACCCTTGGGGTATATGGGAATATACTCCATCAGTTAGTATCATTGGCGGGAAAGTGAGGATTTTGGCAGGAAACGCATTTAATGCAACATATATGGAAGATTTGGTGGTTGGGGGATTGAGCACTCATAACCCCCCAAATCATCTCACTACCACCTACCTCATGGTAGTATAAATAGTACCATTTATTTCATTGTTAGGGATTGGTAACTTGTGCTCACTAACTTTAGCTCTCTATTCTCATGTACCACCTACCACCTATTTCATTTATTTCATAATCCCTCAGCTTAGAGTAAACGCTCGGCCCTTGACCCGGTTGGGTGTGCTGCATGTAATCGTTCTAAGATACTTAATGGAACTCGTCCAACTTGCAGTATTTCTCTCTTCTTGCTAAGGTACTTGTGCCCTTGAACTATTAATCAATCCATAAAACATAAACAACTGTCCCACATATCCAACGAAAGTCCAAAGGGAAGTGTTAGGCCCTTGGACCTAGAGGAATAAACCTCAACACTGACACCGTATGTGGGAAATTTGAACAAAAATTTCCCGAGCAAGCTCCTGTGCTAAGAAGCATAACGCAAAACACTCAATCAGACTAATGGTTAGATTCTCCTTTGAACACACCCGAGACTAGTCCGATTAGACAGCAGACATCGGGAGGTCGTTAGCCCTAACTTCCACGGAGCCGCCTAGAAGTGAATGGTCGCACCAGAGCAACCACAGAGACATTACTCACTCGATCCCCCTCGAAGTTCAAAGGGATCCAAGGCTCCTGAGGGAGTTGGCTGATACCATGCAACACATGGCCGATCAGAATGACGCAGCGCGAATTGTCTGCTCTGCAGAAATCGAGCACACCCCTCGTCCCCCATTCGACGGATGCCATCCTTTGGGGATGACACAGGGGAGACCGAGGCCTCCTGCACCTCAGTCCATACGCAAATAAGACAAACTTTGGGTTCTCCTGGTCTTGGAGGTCAAGGTCACTCGGGAGCCTCAAGGCATCAAAGGGATGTTGCGACTGACCGAACTCCGGTGGTATCCTGTAACAGCACCCAGGCCAGGGAGCCTACTCCCACCATGAATGATGTAGGCCGCCATTTTCAGCATGTGGAAGGGGACGATTGCCACATCGTACGTAGGCAGCGCCACTTGGGGGGGGGGGGGGGGGACAACGGTTACAACACAGACTGACCCTGCTACTCCAGCCCCCATTGTGCAGGAAGACATAATGGGCAGACTCCATAGATAGACCGACGAGTTAACCCCACAGGCGAGCAGATCTCTGGCATAGCCCCACTTCTGCCTCACATCTCCTTTTACATCGAGGATCATGGATGCGGAAATTCTCTGTGAATGTAGGGCGTCGAGTTGCTTAGTCTACAATGGGGCGGGGATCCCAAAGCCCATATACCTACCAGGACTGCCTTATGCTTTTGGATGCATCAGATGACGCCATCTGCAAGCTATTTTTCTATACCCTTCGAGGGACGGCCCAGGAATGGTCCAGTCAGTTGCGGTCCGGCACCATCAATAGCTTCAACGAGCTATCTACATTGTTCTTGGCTCACTTTGCCTCAAGCTCCAGCCCAAACAGGCACTTCATCTATCTCACGAACATCAAGAAGAATTCTGGGGAATTCCTTTCTAAGTTCTTAGTCCAATGTAGGGATGAGAGGGCGGAGGTAGAGGATTTGACAGAGTGCACGAGAATCACCCTCTTCACCAATGCACCACTCTAGGCCGAAGACCTTTTCCGAGATCTGAAGAGAGATCCAGGGACTAGCTACGCTGAAGTGCTAGCCCGAGCGCAAAGCTATGCTGTCATAGAAGAAGAAATTGTCCTGAGGGACCAAGTGTTGACGACCGCCCCTCGCAAGAAATTGTCCTGAGTGACCTCCACAAACACACACACACACACACATGGAGTGAGAGATTTGCAATTCTGAGGCTCTCTTAAGACCTTTAAAAAATATGGAGAGAGAGAAGTGATCTGGTTAGTCTGAATTGACGGGAAACGCCTTTCGGCCAAACCCATTTAGGGCCTTCCGGGTCGAATTTCTAGATGAAATTATGTGAACATGTTTTTCATTAAGTGTACAACATTGACACAAATTTTATTTTTAAAATTTAATTGAGATTTGGGTTAAATAAATTATTAAATAAACGGCGCTTTATAT